AGTATCCCACTGCTGGTGGGGAAGGAGGGATGGGGGACACCGAGGCAGACCTTGTCCCACAATCCCGGACTTGCCTATGCGGAGCATGAAGTTGTTGAAGGATTGGTAGTTGATGTTCATCAGCGTCACCTTCATGGCTAAGGCAAAGTCAGCCAGGTCGGCCAAGTGCTGCCAGCGCTCCTTATCTGAGAGGGTCTCCTTCTGCAAGGGCAGCATGGGTCAGGCCTGCCCACCCTTTGCCCGTTGTCTCCCCACCACGGGGACCCCTCACCTTGGCGCTGTAGCCATTGGCGTTGGCATCGGGGGTCACTCCAGAAGCGGCCATGTAGGTGCTGCCAATGGTTTTAATTTTGGTGATGCACCGGAATTGGGGTTCATCCAGGAGCTAAGCCGTGGAGACAAGACCCTCAGGCACCCCGGAGCCACAGCAGGTCCTTCTGTCCCCAGATGGGGCAGGAAGGGAAAGTCTGACCAAGCCCCATGCCACCCCTGTGGCCAGTTCCATCCCGACTCACCGCGTCAAAGTCAGAGATGATCTCGTTGAGGAACCGCAGGCACTCAATGCCCCCGTTGTTGATGCTCTCCTCTGTGTAGAAGTCAGCGAAGTTGGGGAGGGAGGCGAACATGACACCGATCTCATCATAGGACTGGCTGTACAGCTCCTGGGGGTGGGACAGGATGGTGACCATGAGCCAGGGACGTGCCCACGCATGACACCAGCACCTCTGGCAAACCCAAACCCTCCCCTGAAGCCATCTTCCCTTGGCACATTTGAAAAGATGAGGGTGCTCTGCAACCTCTCCTTGCATGGCCAAGACATCATCTTCACCCAACCAAAGATGTTCAGCCAGAGCCTTCAGCAAAGCCTTTGGATCCAGAGGGCTCCCCCGCAAAAAAGTGGGGCAAATTCCCCTTCCTGGGTTCCCCTCACCTCGTCCCGCTTCTTGGAGCCCAGGAAGTGCCGGGCCACATGCTCGGGCAGCATGTTGGTGACGAGGGCCTCATTCCAGCGCCGCATCTCGTAGACCCGCTCCTTCTGGTCATGGACATCAATCTTCCAGAGGAAGAGGGTCCTGGCCAGCTTCTCCACCTGTGAGTGGGAGGAGATGGCTGCACTCCCAGTTGCCACCCACCAGTAGGTCCCCTTCAGTGCTGGGAGCATCCAGGCTGCTGTGGGGCCAGTCTGGGCTTGGAGACAGCCGGAAGAAGGCTCTGGGACAAGGTGAAGCCCTAATTGGGGATATGAAAACTTCTCTGAGGTGCAAAAGGGACCCTCACAGTGCAGGCATGGGCCTTGGGGCCACCACGTTGTTCCCCGTCCCTAACCATGAGGGCAAGACGGAGGTGTTCTCTGCACCAATGTGGTCATGGAGAGAAAGGGCTTCCTTGGGTGGGCTTCCTTGGAGAAAAGCTGGAGATGCTGTTCACAGCTGGGGACAAATCCTGCTGCCTTGGAGCTTGCAGGAAATAAGGGCAAGGGCTGAGGGTGGAGACGCAGAGGAGAGGGGAACTTCCTGGGTTTGGGGGGCAAGGCACCTACGTGGCGAGAGAAGTAGTAGAAGCTGAGCATCACGATGAAGATCATCGCCGTCATGGAGTACTTGGAGGGGACCAGTGAGGACCTGCCGGCAGAGGCAGCGAGGCATGGGTGGGCGGTGGGCATGGCCGTGGCCCCCAACCCCATGCCCACCCCCTTCCCACCCCTTACGTGCTTTGCTGGCCACGGCGGTGGTCGTACTGGTCAAAGATGTGCTCCCAGGCATAGATGTTGACAGCACCGGTGGCCCCGGTGATCAGCACCATGAGGGTCAGCTTGACCATGTGGCTGACCTGCACCAGCATGATGGTGGCCACCAAGGCCAGCAGGGCGATGTAGCTGTAGTACTTAGGCTGCTCCCCACAGCCACCCGGCCACGGTGGCCCCACTGTCACGTTGCCCATCCCGCCGTGGTCCTGCCGGCAGCTGAGCTGGGGGAACAAGGGCAGGGTGAGGATGGGGGGAGAGGGAGCACCTCTCCATGGGCTGCATGGCCACCCAAAGGGAGAGAGTGCTTTGTAGACCAGGAGGACACCCGACCTAAATTTCCTCCTGACAGTGAAGCCTGAATAATTGCTTTAACGATCGGCTGTGCACGGGGCCGTGCACAATTATGGGTTGCCTGGATGGAGGCTGGAGCAGGCTCAGCCCCGCTAGCACTTGCGCTGGTAGCTCACCATGTCCACGATGTCAGCCATGGTGACGATGATGATGGCGGCCATGGCCCAGGTGTTGCGCGCCCAGCGGGTCCTGTCGATCCAGGTGGAGAAGGCCACGAGCTTTTTGGGGAAGACCTGTGGAGAGAGGAAGTTGGGGAGGGGTTCACCCAGGTAGGATACAGTGATGGGACATGATGGTGTCCCATCATCGTGAGTGGTAAGCCCATCCTGTCTCACCCGGGGGAAGATGGCAGCTAACGAGCAGAGGGTGAGGATGAGCAGCAGGATTTCCCCCACCACGAAGGTCACGTAGTTGGCCACCAACCTGCCAAAAAGGCCGAGAGGGAATGGGTTTGATGCCTGGCCGGGGCCAAGCGTGCCTTGGGACAACCCATCCCCACCAACTCCCTGCCCTACCAGGGGTCGATGAAGACCTCCACCAAGGCGGTGAAGAAGAGGACAACGCAGGAGCAGCTGAAGGCGGCCCCGCTCTGCTTCTCCTTCTCCACCGAGTAGCGCGTCTCCATTTCGGGGTCAATGAAGCGCATGGAGAGCCGGAAGGTGCTCTTCCCCTTCAGCCTGCCGGTGACACTGCCCATCAGCGCCCGGCAGCACCGCGGAGCTGCCGAGCCGTGCCAGGACACGCCGCCGGCTGGGGTGACTCACGCCTGGATAGACTCCCGCTCCAGCAAAGCTTCGTTGAGCAGCTTGTTGAGCTCCTGCTCATTCTGCGAAGCGTCGATCACCCGCTCGGCCAAGTCCCGCAGCCGCAGCCGCCGGCGAGGGTTGGGGAAGGAGGGGTTCACCGCCTGCGCCGGCACAGCCGAGGCATCACCAAGACTGTGCTGGCACCGGGGGGATTGGCCACCCTAGTGCGGCTATCAACTAGGCCCCCGGCAAACGCAGGTGAGCTGCTGGAAGGGGGATGCGTTGCATGGGCTGTACCTCTCCATCCTCTTCCCCGCTCTCCAGGGCGCCCCTCACCCTGGCGTCAGGCTCCTCGGGCTCCTCAGGGCTGGCGCAGGCCAGGCTGAGGCTGCCGTTGCGCTCCTTGGTGTTGACCAACGGCGGGGAACCACCGTGGGACGAGGTCAGCGAGAGTTTCTGCAAGGTGGAAGGCGGTGGGTCACGATGGGGGTGACCTCCCCACCAGCCCCGTCTCACCGCGGCGCTGCTGCCACTCACCACCCCGTTGATGCCATTGCGCAGGGGCTGCTTGGGGACCACCACGAGGTAGGTGATGATGCCCTTCTCCTTCAGGTACTCGCAGCGTGAGCCGCCTTCACCCGGCTCCACCTCGAACTCACCCTTCAGGCAATCCATGGTGCTCTGCGAGATGTGCACCCGCCTGCCGGCACCGGGCGCCAACGTCACCCTTGGGTGCAAGGCACCCCATCCCCGTTCTCCACCTCCCCCTGGAGATGCTCACCCAGGGATGCCCCCTGCCTCCATCTTGTTGGCCACGGTGACGTCGGTGGACCACACATCGTACTGCCAGCGCTTCTGGCCCAGCACACCGCCCAGCACCGTCCCGCTGTGCACCCCAACCCGCATGTCCACCGCCGTCTTGGTCTTCTCCCGCACGTAGCTGGGGGTGGGAAGACAAGGGTCATATCATGGAATCACAGGATGGTTTGGGTGGGAAGGGACCTCTAAAGGCCATCTAGTCCAACCCCCTGCCATGGGCAGGGACATCTTCAGCCAGACCAAGTTGCTCCAAGCCCCGTCCAACCTGGCCTGGAATGTTTCCAGGGATGGGGGTGACCCCCTCTCAACCCATCCCCACCCCACAGCCTCTCCCAATCCTGACCCCCTCCATCATTAATTATCACCCCTCCACATCTTAATGCATTTCAGAGAGGCTGGGGCC